ACAATAACCAAGATATGGAAGCAACCTAGTGCCCATCAATAGATGAATGAATAAAGAAGATGTGGTATAAATATACAATGGACTATGACTTAGCCATAAAAAAGAAGGAAATCTTACCATTTCATGGATGGACTTAGAGGGTATTATGCTAAGTGAAATAAGTGGGGAGGTAGTCAGTAACTATGTAATATCTTTGGTGACATAACTAGACCTATCATGGTGATCGTTTTGAAATGTATAGAAATACTGAATCACTACGTTGTGTAACAGGAATTAACAGTGTTGTGGTCAATTATACTTCAAAAACAAAGAAACTTACAGAAAAAGAGATCAGACTGTGGTTACCAGTGGTGGGTGGTGGGGGGAGGGGGAACTGGATGCAGCCAGTCGAAAGGTACAAACTTCTAGTTATAAGATAAGTACTAGGGGCTTCCCTGGTGGCACACTGGTTAAGAATGCCTGCCAATGCAGGGGACTCAGGTTTGAGCCCTGATCCTGGAAGATCCCACATGCCGCAGAGCAACTAAGCCCGTGCACCACAACTACTGAGCCTACGCTCTAGAGCCTGTGAGCCACAACTGCTGAGCCCATGTGCCACAACTACTGAAGCCTGCACTCATAGAGCCCATGCTCCACAACAAGAGAAGCCACCACAATGAGAAGCCTGCATGCAGCAACGAAGACCCAATGCAGCCAAAAATAATAAATAAATTAAAAAAAAAAAAAGTACTAGGGATGTAATGTACAAAATGATAAATATTATTAACACTGCTATATGTTATATATGAAAGTGGTTAAGATAGTAAATCCTAGAAGTTCTTATCACAAGGAAAAAGTTTTTTTCTATTTAATTTTGTATCTATATGAGATGATGGATGCTTACTAAACTTATTGTGGTAATCATTTCATGATGTATGTAAGTCAAATCATTGTGCTGTACACCTTAAACTTATACAGTGCTGTATGTCAATTATATCTCAATAAAACTGGAAGAAGAATAATCAGAAATGCACCATGGGTAAGAATCAGTTGAAACAGCAACAGAATAAGATTGAGAAAGACCACAGATGTCGGAATTACAGAATATACAAAAAGTACATTTTTTTATGTTTAAAGAAATAAAAGGGGAAATCAACTTTGAACTCAGAAGACTATCAGAAAGTTTCAGAAAGGTTTAAGAAGAACCATATTAAACTTTGGGAAATGAGAACTGTGATAATTGAAATGAGAAATTCAGTAGATAGGTTAAACCAGGGTTTCTCAACCTGACGTTTTCAACATTTAGGCTGGATAATTCTTTCTTGTAGGGGGCTGTCCTGTGCATTGTAGGATGCTGACTAGCATCTTTGGCATCTATCCTCCAGATGCCAGTAGTATGCCCCTCCCAGTTGTGACAACCAAAAATGTTTCCACACACTGCTAAGCATCTCCTGAAGGATAAAATCACCCTCTTTTGAGAACCACTGAGTTAAAACGGCAGATTAGACAGAGCTGAAGAGAATTTGTGAAGAAAAGGATAGCTCTGGACATAATGCAGCACATTCATATCAGAAGGGAGAAAAATAAAAGAGAATTTAGGACACATGGAGGACAGATTTCCAGAAGGATGTTTGTAATCAAAATTTCAGAAGAATATTAAAGAGAATGGGAAAGAGGCATTTGAAGAGTTTATAAATGAAAATTCTTCAGAATTGATGAAAATTATTCTCAAATTCAGAATTTCTATATAGATTTAAAACTCAACTTCTCAATTTACACATATACACAACCTTCAGGGATTTTGAAAAGAAAAAAAAATGATACCATTTGTAGTAGCATAGAATCAAATACTTAGGAATTAATCTTTTTAAAGATGGCAAATACTTCAACAGAAAACTAAAACATTTTCAGAGAAATTTTAAAAGTCCTAACTAAATAAGTGGTAGGAGATACTATGTTCATGAATTAGAAACTCAATATAGTAAAGATGTTGTTTCTCCCCAAATTGATCTATAGATTTTGAAAATAGTCTTAATCAAAATTCCCATAGATTTTTTGGTAGAAAATAAAATTTTAATTTTAAAATGTATATGGAAAGTCAAGCACTGAGAATGCCAAAACAATCTTGAAGAACGAAGTTGAAGACTTACAGTACCAGATATTGATTTATTATAAAGCAACAGTCATTAAGACAGTGGAATATTGGTGCAAGGACAAATAGACCAGTGAAGCAGAACATAGAGAGTCCAGAAATATACATATACAGACACTTGATTTATGACAAAGGTGGCATTGCAAAAGAGTGGAGAAAAGATAATCTTTTCAATAAATGGCGCCAGGTATTTAGATATCTATATAGAAAAAAGTTACTCTTGACCCTCCTACCTCACACCATACATTAAGAATCAACTGTAAGTGAGCAGACCTAAATGTGAAACAATAGTGCTTCTAGAAGATAATATAGGAGAATATTTTCATGACATTGGGGGAGCTAAAGATTTTGTTAATGAGAAACAAAAAAGCACATTTAAAAAAATGTATTGAACTACATTAAAATTAGGAGCTTCTGTTCATCAAAAGACATGACAAGGGGAATCAAAGCTAAAAGGTGGGAGTAGATATTTGCAATACATATAATTGGAAAGGATGTGTATTCAGAATATTAAAAATAAATAAATAAAAACCATAATAAGAAAAAACCAACCCAACTAAAAAAACTGAGTATTTCACAAATGAGGATAACCAAATGGCCAATAAATTCCAGAAATATGCTCAGACTCAGTCATCAGAGACTCAGTGATCAAATGCAAATTGAAGTCACAATGAGATGACCACATACCCAACAGAATGGCTGATACTGAAATGACTGCGCATACCTAGTGTTGGTGAGGGTGTGGAGTAACAGATGCTCTTAAACATTGCTGATAAGAGTATAAATTGATACAAATATTCTGGAAAACAGTTGAGCAGTGTCTACTAACTGAAGACATACCTATGCTAGGATCCAACAAGTTTACTCCTAGGTGAACGCACATGCACAATACAAGTGCATACACACGTGCACCAAAACTCTCATTCAAGAATGTTTATAGCAGCATTATCCATAATAGCCTCGAAATATCCACCAACAGTAAAAGGTATACACCCATGGGGGGATAGCCATGCAATGGAATAGTATGCATCAATGAAAAAGAATTTATTATAGCTGCACCACAGCAACAACATGAGCGAATCTCTAAAACATGTCGAGCAAAGGAAACCAGACATGAAAAAAATGCATGCTGCATGTTTCCATGTACATAATATAAAGTTCAAAAAGCATCTGAGGACTTACCTGGTGGCGCAGTGGTTAAGAATCCGCCTGCCAATGCAGGGGACACGGGTATGAGCCCTGGTCCAGGAAGATCCCACATGCCGTGGAGCAACTAAGCCCGCGAGCCACAACTACTGAGCCCGCATGCCCCAACTACTGAAGCCTGTGTGCCTAGAGCTCATGCCCCGCAACAAGAGAAATCACCGCAGTGAGAAGCCCACACACCTCAATGAAGAGTAGCCCCTGCTCACCGCAACTAGAGAAAGCCCGTGCAGCAGTGAAGACCCAACACAGCCAAAAATAAATAAATTTATTTAAAAAAAGAAAAGCAGCTGAAATTATAATACTTAATGATGCAGGCATGGGTGTCAAAACTGTAAAGGAATGCAAGGAAGTGATTACCACAAAAGACCGGATGGTGGTTACCCCTGTGGGTACACAGGGGTGATGGCTGGGAAGGTGTGTGGAGGGCTCCTGGGGAGTTGGCAATATCATTTATCAACTTAGGTCATGGTTAACGTGATTCTTTTGCCAAATCATTGAGTTACACATTTTTGTTCTATATATTTTTATGAATGTGTGTTACAGTTCATAGTAAAAAACTTTAAAATATTAGAAACAGAACAGTCAGGCTTAATGTGAATCTGAGTGTCTGCTTTCCCCTCCGGATCTTTGCACTTTTCTACCTCTTTGGCCTTTCCTTCTTTTTGAGGAGACCTGACTCCTTTTACTTGCAAATCATAAAACTGACTTTGAGAAAGCATACTTCTTTTTGAGGTAAAATTTAGCATCACAAACCCAAACTTAACCCCATGTAACTTTAACTCTCCACCCACCCACCCCAGCCTCTCAAACACCTTAAACAAAATAAAACATTTTACAACTAACTCAAAGGTGGTTTTACCCTAAGACCAAAATGTGGATAATTTTACAGTATACTCTAAAGTCTCTATTTCTTTTGTCTAACATAGTTTACATCCTGTGCTTTCCACATTGCTGTCTGGCTAAGTAGCAGGGTACTAACCTAAGGGAACCTGGCCAGCTTTGACTCATTGATAGAATGTGGCCATCTTGGTGACCAAAGCCAGCTTCTCACATTTCTTCTTGAAAAGCATGGTGTTGACATGTTTAATATCCTGTGGCATTTCCTCTGGGCTCCGTAGTCTGATGAAAAAAGTTCCTGTTGTTGTCTGATGGCCAAGTTGAGTAGCAAGGCCTCGAGACCCTCCACTCGACAGCTCTGGCTGGGGTGGCGATTTCCCTTGAAGTTGTACTAGGAATCCTGATGGTCATATTTGGCAGGATCCCTACACTGCCACCTTCAGGGAGAGCATTTATGTGTGCCTGGATGGCTTTTGAACAAATAAAGGTGAAATCTCACCCATAACTTCATAGGGAATGATAAATCAAAACCTAGCACACCACAAAAAAAAAAAAAAGAAAAAGATAACCCTAAGATTTTAAGGTTTTCTGGAAGAATTCCAAAAACATATTTCAAGGGAATTTCTCAGGGCAGCCCTAAATAAACTGGCGACCTATAGATCAAAGACACTGTGTTTTATTAGCCATCTCCTGAGCCAGCCAATCCTACAGTCCTTCTCTGATTGTTACATGCATTCAGATAAACCGTCTCCGTCTTTCCTTTCCTCCTCTGAGAATCACAAGAATCACAAATCAGCCCTGACAACATTTGGTTTCTCATCTTCAGGAATGTAGCTGGTACATTCTTCAAGTGAAAGAGGCAATCCTAGGAAGGCATATGAACCAGACCAGACAGAATGAAGAGTATCTTATTTCATCTGCACAGAACAAAAGAGCGTCTTTCCTTTCCCAGCGCCTGTGCAAGTCTGAGGACTTGAATGAAAGCAGACTGGCTGAGCTTCGTCCTGAGGACAGAGTCACAGCTGGCCGGGGAGAGGGGCCCACTGAGGTAAGGGGGACCACTTTCCCTGCTCCAAGACTGTTCTTACAATAGGGTTCTGACTTGCCAGGAAAAGTGATTGACACAGTTATTTCTCCTTGATTGTAACATTCCACCAAGATATATGCTTCCCGCACTGATCCCAAGTTCTATAGGTTCATTTAGAATATAATTATTAAAACATTATGAGTTTCTCATAAGTTTAATCTGGGCTAGGAAGTTAGTGACCTATATAGGCAGCTTGATGTCACTTCCCAGATTAGGTTACATAAGACAGTGACTTCTATCTTACAGGCAGACCTTCTCCCTTGCTGGCTTTGATAAAATGGACCTGCCTGTTGGAGAGGCCCAGGTGGTCAGGAACTGAGGGTGGCCTCGGGCCAGTAGTCCGCCAAGCCCTAAAGGAAGCAAGGATCTGAGGCAGCCCTTCAGTCCAGCAACCTTCAAGAAACTGAATTCTGCCAAAAATTACTTGTGCTTGGAAGCAGGTCCTTCCTCAGGTGAGCCTTCAGATAAGACCCTAGTCCTGGCCAACTCCTTGATTTTGGTTTGGTGAGAGACCCTGAAGTATAGGATCTGCCTCAGCTGGCCCTGGCCTCCTGTGTCCCGAAAATTGTGAGATAATAAATGTGTGCTTTAAGTTGCTAGGTTTACCCTAGCAATCTGTTAAATAGCAATAGGTAACTAACACAGTAGATTTCACCTGTCACCTTTCTTTCCATAACATAAATCCTTAAAATTCCTAATAATTACAAAATAGAACTTCTTTGGAAAACTTCTCCACTGTTATTTCTAAGACGGTAGACTGACACGAATTAAACTCAGTATGCTATCACTGTATATGATACTGTGTTGGGATCAGTCATCTCCTTAGAGAGTTATGTGTGAACTAACAGATGGTATAAGGGTAAGCATCAGGAGGGCTCTGTGGTCTAAAATGTGGCTCTAGTTATGTCACCCCCCCATCCCCCGCTTAAAGAGCTTCCAGAGTTCTCCATGAAATACAGACTCTTTTTGTGGCATTCGTAATGTGAGCACAAACCTCCTTCCCAGGCTTTCTCTCCGTGACACCACTCCCTGCCCCCTCCCCACGCTGGCGCCTGTCCCTCCCCGTGTGTGTCTCCCCCTGCCCTTCATAGCACTCTCCCCTCCGCCCACCATCTCATATCTGCCAGTGGACGGCCCACCTCTTCCATGAGGTGTCTCCCTGATCCCATGGCCACCCTTGAGCCAGGTGCTCTGTCTCTCCCATTGTGCCCTCACACTGCTTTTGGCCTTGCTTGGAAACCTGTCATGTGCCGACCTTCATCCCGGTTTGACCTCTGCCTCTTCTCTGATTCCTCCTTCTCTCATCTCCCACGTGAGACTAAAAACTCCACAAGGGGAGAGACTGTCCATCATTCTCCGTGTGGCCCTTCCCACACCCAGAACATCACCTCGGCACAGGGAGGAGGGGGTGACCCGATGTTTGTGGCATTGAATGTAATGCAGGGCAGATCCACATGTGGTGCAGCACTACCCAGAAGTTCTACTAGAGAAGTACCATGTGGCCCAAGGAGTTTGGGAAACAAGGTGTGCCCTGTCCCTTCAGGAAGAGTCCCCATGGACATCAGATGACGAAAGTTTCTAAGAAGTGCTGCTGTAGAGAAATGGGTGCCCCACCTTCGGGCTCTGGCTTTCTGTAACGCTGGGATTTGGGCAGGAGGTTTGGTAGCAGCCTAGTCATGTACCTACAGCGCCGCTGCCCATTTGGAACTCACAGTGGATGCCACGTGCTGGCTTTTTTCTTGGTCAGGCTGTGAGTTTATCATGCTAAATAGTCATTCATTCCCCTGGTTTACTCACAGGTGATGCCAGAATGGTTTCAAATCACGATGCTCTGAATGGATTCTCAACTCCTAAAAATACACAGACCCTACTGTTAGAAACAAAGCCATCTACGCTACTGTTAGAAACAAAGCCATCTATACTGTGTTTCAAGCCATGTTTGGTAACTAGTTTGACCTGACCCTTGTCCTCCTGGGACTTTCTGCTGACGTTGCAGAGACTGTATTTAAAGATTTCAGATGTTAGAGACTCACCTTTTCACCAACCTTTGCCAGAGTCAGTCCTACTTAATGGATGTTTAATAAGCATTTCCTGTGTGTCAGGCACTATGCTAGGTGCTTAGGGTACAAAACTGTTCCTGCCCTAAAGGATGTATAGTCTGACTCAGAACATAAGAGATCCTCTTGCTACAATTCTGTGAGCACTAAAACCCTGTTATACATGGGGAACACAAGCAAGAGTTGGGGAGGAGTCATAGTCTAGAGGAGGCAGGCCAAGGATGCGAGTTAGCTGAAAGATGCCAAAAGCTTACTCTGGGATTAAAGGTAGAAAAAACTAGTCCAAATTCAACAGACTTTTTTTTCTTTTTCTTTTTCTTTGAATTAATTTTTATTGGAGTATAGTTGCTTTACAATGTTGTGTTAGTTTCTGCTGTACAGCAAAGTGAATCAATTTTATGTATACATATATCCCCTCATTTTTAGGTTCTCATTAGTTATCTGTTTTATACATAGTAGTGTATATATGTCAATCCCAATCTCCCAATTCATGCCATTTCCTTCTGCGCCCCCATACATACAGCTTTTTGTTTTAATCACACTAAATTACCAAAGACGCCCAAATCGCAGTGCTCTGTCACCTCCAGCCTGTGTTGTCCCTTCTCTGGAAACACTCCCTTCCTTTTCTCTGCCTATCCGACTCCTGCTCAACTCCCAGTCAGACTTGTTTTTTTAACACGCACTCTCTGCCGACAGCTCTGTCCGCTAGGTCCTAATAGTTCTAAGATGAATGAGACACACTCCCTCCCGTCCAGGACTTTAGCTGGGGGTGATGGGGTCAGAGGTCAGGTGAGGGACTGATTAACGGACACTGAGACACTCCAAGGACTGCATGATGAATTGCCAGTAGAGGAACCTTCCATTTTAATTTAAGCAATCATTTCTTGCGTCTAATCTTTTTTTTTTTTTTTTAAGTGAAAGAGCTAACATCATTCAGTGTCTTGAGCCCATAAACGTAAAGACCTAATAGCTGTGAGCTTAAGAGTTTCTCTCTGGTCACTGATCACACGCCCCCTGCCTTAAACACTGCTCCGCCTTCCTCTCTCTCCTCGTGCTTGGCTTCCATGAAGGGCAGTGGAAGGAAGGAAAAGGAGGAGGGCGTGCCTCCTTCTGTGCTCTTGATGGCTCTTCTCCTGGGATTCATTCTGGAGAACCTATGGAAAAGTGACAGCAGCAACTAAATCTGGAATCTGTGTCCATGGCTGCAGCCAGGGAGACCCTGTGGTAGTTTTGACTCTGCCGCGCATTTATTCTGTGTCCTTGGGCGTGTTTCCTAAGTCTCTGTGCGTGTTTACCTCATCTCTAAAATGGGGTAAAAAGTATACTTCACAGGGCTGTGTGTGGATTGGTATTCTGTGCTGAGCACGGTGTCTTCATAAAGGCTGTATTTGGTGCTTAATAAATACTAATTCTCTCCCTTGTTTTCTTTTAAATTTTTATTTTATGTATTTATTTTTGACTACGTTGGGTCTTTGTTGCTGCATGTGGGCTTTCTCTAGTTGCGGCAAGCTGGGGCTACTCTTCCTTGCGGTGCACAGGCTTCTCATTGTCGTGGCTCCTCTTGTTCTGGAGCATGGACTCTAGGCGCATGGGCTTCAGTAGTTGTGGCACACGGGCTCAGTAGTTGTGGCTCATGGGCTTCATTGCTCTGCGGCATGTGGGATCTCCCTGGACCAGGGCTCGAACCCATGTTCCCTGAATTGGCAGGCGGATTCTTAACCACTGTGCCACCAGGGAAGCCCTCCCTTGTTTTCTTTAAAGCAGGGTGTCACACATGTTCTGAGTGTATAAGAACATTTAACTTTCAGATCAGGAACTCAGCCATCAGGACCATTGACTGTAGCTTTCAAGGCTGGATTTTTATACGGTGACCCTGGTTACAAGTGGGCTGTTCTCTTCTCTTGGTAAGTGCAAGAGTTATACCTTTTCTGTTGGAGTTGAGAAAATTTGGCCATTGTATTTGTACCTAAAACAGGTGATGTGGAAATTTTTGTTCCATTCTTGGAGAACTCCATCTCATTTTTCTCCAGGTTACTTGAGAAAGCCAAAGGAGTTGGTAGTTTATGTTGGCATGCAGGGTTGAGAGAGAACATAAAAATGGGTGGGACATATCTTCAGCGATGGATGGAGATGTGAACGTTTTTGGCTTAAAAGTCAATTTTCCTTTGCTATTGTACTCAGGCCAAGAAAGCACCAATTACTTTAGGTCTTTCCTGCAGTAATTAATTCACCTGGAATGCCTTCCTCTCCTCCCTTCCTGTAGTCCTGTCCCCATGAATTATTTCTCTTTATTCAGATAATATTTACTGAGGTTCTGTTCTGGATGGACGCTGTCCTAGGGACAGAGCTGGAAGAAGCCAAGCCGGGCGGCAGAGAAGCGGGGGAGGCAGCGGAGACAGACACGCATGCGCTCACTGCCTCCACTCCTTGTCTTGAGTTTAAAGCATCTGGCCTTGTGGCTCTCAGTACAGGGAGAAAGAAGGGTGCCCTGGGACCTGAGGGTCCTGAGGGGATAACTAAACTCGGAGCAGGGGAGTAAGTGGACGCAGGCGCCACAGGACCCAGAGGGGAAGCAGCAGAACCAGGGTGGGTGGTGGGTTTGGGGGCTCATGGGCGGCGCTTGAAGAAGCAGCACAGGTCAGCAGGGACGGCACGCGGAGGAGTAGCGAGAATGCCAGCGGTGCAAATGCAGCAGGCAAGGGCCCTGTCCTCTCACATCTCTGTGGATCTGACCCCTTTCTGGATCATTTTAGCTACAGTTAATGAGCTGCCATCCCGTCGTTTAGGGAAGCATCCAGTGGGTCAGGCTGCAAATGCAGCAGGCCAGGGCCCTCTCCGCTCACATCTCTGTGGGTCTGACCCCTTTCTGGATCATTTTAGCTACAGTTAATGAGCTGCCATCCCGTCGTTTAGGGAAGCATCCAGTGGGTCAGGCCCTGTTCTGGAAGTGGAGATACAAACAGAAGTGGGACGTGGTCCAGCCCCCAAGGAGTTGCAGCCAGTTGCTGCTTTCCCAATCCTGGCTGTGTGAGAATCTCCCCAGAACTTTAGAGCACACACCAGCCAACGTTTCTGACTCCGGCGACTGGACCGGTCTGCCATTTCCCCACCTAGTGAGTGAACATGACCTGGAGGAGGAGGTCAGGGTCCCTTCTTTTCAGGCGCCACGCTAAGGGCCTCACATAAGAGGGGGTAAGATAAGTAAACAGTGGTGTGCTTGAGCGGCTCAGCTCAGCTCACAGGAGTCAATTATGCACATTTCTCAACTTGATATGCAGTGACATCACGCTGATACTTTGAAATCAGCCATGGAGGTATTATTTATGCAGTGGAAATCGGCAAATGATAAAAATCACTGACATTTCCCTTTCTAGAAAGCCAGTTGTTAAACACCT